AAAGAATAGATGCCTAAGACAATTGTTTTCTAGCACTGCTAATCATTGTATTAGAATATGTAATTTCTAATATAGATCTCCCTCAAGGCAAACCACTTAGCCCCATTCTTTTTATTTCTTTATCAATGATTATCTGAATTTTTTCATAGGTATACCTATATTATTATGACTATCTTTGTTGATTATGCATTATCATATTTCGTATTGTGTATTTGTACTCATCACTTAGTTATGCCTCGTGATACTAGGTACATACTCAATTCTGTACCTAATAAAGAATTATGTATGTATCAGCGCTAATTGAAGTGAATTGTCTTCTATTTGCAGACAATATTGCAGCACTTTCTTATTCTCCTAATGGTCTTCAGCAAAAACTTTACCTTTTACAGGATTATTGTGGGACTAATAGATTACATATTAATGAGATTAAATCTAAGGTGATGATTTTTCAGAGAGAGAGTAGGCTGGGAAAGAATGACAAATTCTATTTATTCAATTCTGATTTGGAAATGGTGTCATCCTATAAATATTCAGGTATTTATTTTACTCCATAGATCTTTTTTTCTTTTCATTTAGACAAAGTAATTATGAAATTTAAACTTAAGTTTTATTAAATTAGCAGAAGATTGCTTCATTCTGATCATAAACTTGCTAAGTCATATTTTCAGCTGTTTGATTCCTCGATATGGTCAAGTTTGGGTTTGTTTCCTATTTGGGGTCCATGTCTTGTTGACAGACTGGAGAAAACTCAATTGACATTCATTAGATTGATTTTTCATCTTAATCATTCGGTGTCTGGACCTGTTTTGAGATCTGAATTGGATAGCCCACCATTGGCTATAAGTTTAACTATGGCTATTTTTTGTTACTGGTTCAAGATTCTAGAGCTGCTAGAGCGATGGTTCTTAACCAGTGTTCTGCAAACCTATCTCAAGCGTTCCATGAAAGAAAGATTTTAAAGTTTTTATTCAAACTTATTCCCACTGCTATATTGATAGATAATTCCATGCTTCTATTTTATTCAATATATTAAAGTTTATTAGTTTATTGATTCATTGTTTCATGAGAATAGTAAACATGGAATTGCTTATCAATTTTTGAATATATTGATGTTAATGCTCTGTGTAATAAAAAGTATATGAATGATGTTCTGCAGCCTCAGAAAGGCTGAGAACCACTGTGCTAGTCTGATCTCAGGAAGTTGGTTTATAAGAAATTAAAATTAGTAAGCACAAATATTTTGCTCATAACTTGGTTTTCCTCAATGGAGCATTTATTGTCTAATTTGGGATATTCACTTTTCTGATAAAAGGGTCTTGTTGGCTGAACTTCAACAATCTTTCAGAGATAAATATTGGGCTCAAGATAGTCTTTATATAGAGCAGAAGTATAGTTTGTTGAAAAATTCTTTAGCTTTTCCATGGACATCTCAAAGTTAACCTTATAATTTAAATTTAAAAACAAATAAATTTTTCATAATACAACTGTGGTTTAACAAATATATATATATATATTTTTAAATGGATGTAGAAGTAATGTAATACATTGTTCCAATTGTTCCTTTCATAATCTTTATTTTGAAATGTTAAAAATCATTTCTTTGTATCTTGTGAATTTACCAAGCATTTAAAAAGTAATTTATGATCTTATGAAGAATATTTAAATCAATTAACAAAAAATTAAGTTCTGTAACATTATATAAATATTTTTGTTATTTAGTAGTTTATTTCAATAAATATGTTACAATAGTTTTCTAAATTCAACTCATACAACTGTACCTGGATAATGATAATTATCATAATGTATGTAACTATGTGATCTTTTAAACTTTTTGTACCCCACTTGTTAAGGCAAAAAGCAGTATCAAATAAATGACTGACTGACTGATTTAAAATAAAAATTTCAGAAAGTTATCAGGTATTAGAGATGAAGTTCAAATTTTTTAAAGTTATGAAATGGCTAACTTAAGTATGGCAATGAAGGAAATACTCTTTGGATTAATTATCTGCAGGGTTACAATTAGTTGTTCAGTAGTACATATTTAAAAATATATGTTTTATATCTGCTTATTAAAAATAATGTTGCAAATAATTACATTTGAAAGACAATATTGTTATTGGTGGGAGACTATCCCACAATTCACAAACAATTACTAACAATGGTTCTTTATTCTTTTATTGATATATTTTGTAATACTTACATAATATAAATTTATAATTGATTTTGGTTGGTTCTCTTCAAGTTAATTCTCAGTAATTTATATTTATATAATTATTTTTATATTCTGATAATATTATAATATATTATATCTATTTTTCATATTATTACTATTATTGTTTCGTAACTGATCTATTATTTTATTGTAATTATCATCTCACATCAATGATTTTTCTACCTAGTATTACCATTCTAGTTTCTACATAAATATATAATTTTATAATTCAAATGTTATAACAGTATAAAACTATTCAATAATCTAAACAGTATGGTAGTTAATAGCTATCTTGGATATATTCAAATCCAAGAGTCTCATTTAAACTCTTGTTGATGATGATAGCATTGCATTCCCATGTTATGCAAAAACTGCTTGTTGCTATCCTCTCCATATAGACAGACATTTCCAAGCATATCAAAATTTAACAAATTAATACAAATTCAGTAATTATTAAATTTCTAACATAGGCACTTAAATATATCACAAAAAAGATGAAACAGAATACGACTAATCGCCAAACACCTTTCTTACTTTTTCCAAAGGTCAATTTAATAAAAAAATAGATAAGAAAAATGTTTTCTAAAATACAATAGTTTGAATACTACATGATGCTATTTAAAATAAGATCAGCAATGGACAAAGCAAAATCAGCTATGATATACAACCTAAGAGTATATAAATAAACCATAGCCAACTCATTAAAGCAACACACGGGTGATCTGCCAATGTGGGAATGCCTCCCAGGAGCCATAGGGACCTAAGTACACCTAAACAGGGGTCTGCTTCCCTCTTTTATGGAAAACTGGCCCTATTTACATGTTACAAATGAGAAGAAAACTGCATGTGGCCAGCCCATTGGTGAGGCATGAACTCATGACCAATTACCAGTGTTCAGTGTTTTTATCCACATGGCCACTGGTGGGCTAGCATATTTTGGTACTTGAGTTCATCTTGATTTCCCATCAGTTAGGCTAGAGCTATGCTTTTGCTTGTGACATGATTTCCTATTCAATACCATACACCAACGGTTCCCAACCTTTTTCGGGTGGCGACCCCCTTTTTATAAAAGCCAAGTGACCCGCGACCCCGATACAATTGAAAAAGGTATTTTTAATAAGATAATTAAAAAACAATGAAATTAGTTTTTTAGTATAATTTTATTTTAAATTATGTTTAATAATTAATTTAATGAGATGGTTGAAATTGCATGTATTATTAATTAAGACACCATTAAAAATAAATATTGCATTATAGTGAAAATTTTGTTTTAGTTTACTGCATAAGTTGGCGACCCCACAGAAAACTCATCGCGACCCCCTTCTGGGTCGCGACCCATAGGTTGGGAACCCGTGCCATACACAATGCTCAGAATTACAACTGACAAATACTAGACTTAATGCATTTAGTATGCTAGTCATCATTTCTCACATTTAACAATTGGACATACCTACAGAACCATGATAACCTGATGGGTAGCCTGGTTTCTGTGGATTTGTGTGAAATGGATAATTGTTAGCTTGAAGTTCACATCTTGGGGAAAATCCTACCTAATATGCTGTTATTTCTGTTTTATGGAAAACAGATGAAACTTAACACTGATGAATTATTATAAACATTTAAAACAACAATTATGATTTAGTATTAGATCTTGACCAATCTAACAACAGCAATGTCCACTGTTTATACCTGAATATTTAGAGCTCTGCAAAGATAGAATGAATTTATCACAAATCCTATTCCCAAGCTTTCTTCATACCAGCTAACTCTAGCAATTCCAAAACCGTTAAAACAGATGTGTTTTGGACACTACTTAGGTGGGCTTGAACCCGTTGTTCCTGCATAGACAATGTATTGCATTAAAATGAGCAAATTAAAAATACCGCAATAGAGCATGGCTTCAGCAGAAAGCTCATTACTGATTTAGCATATAATATAGAATGAAGGTTTATGTTGTTCTTTGTTTAACTTAGATTAACAAATTATTAAAAGATTAAAAATTATAAATGCATAATTTTGGATTTTGACCCTAGACTGAACAGGAATTACACAAAACTGGCTAAAGATATAAGCATACCACATTACATACAAATGGAATCCTACAGTATTCAGATTATACTGCCTTTTCCATTTGTCAGTTAAACAAAAAATGGGAATCTTAAGTCCCTCATCAGCTTGCACAAGCTGATGAGGGACTTAAGGTCCGAAATGCATTTTTTTTTTGGAAAAATAAAGTGATTTTCTAACGCTGGTCTTGTGTCCAGTGATGGTGTAATAAGTCTACTATGTTGGCCTTTCTTTATTGCTAATCATATGATGATAAATAATATTAATTGATAACATAGGTTCCAAACACCATTAAAATATTTAATGTGTATATATTAATACAAGCTATATATACATGTGTAAAATTTGAACTGTTCTATTTTAGAAAATACAAAAGCTTTTTTGTTATTTGAATGGCTTAATAACATGAAGCAAATCCTAAAAGGGAACAAAAACATTTGTTTTTCTGATTTTTTATTAAATTGACTGCTGGAAAAGTAAGAAAGGGGTTTGGTGATTAGTTCTAACAAAGACAATTTATCTATTAAAACTGCAAGTTTCTAATTATTCAGTCAATAACTAATCAAATTATAGCTCAGTGATTTTTAACAATTTTTTTATGATTTAATCTTTCAAAATTATAATTTTTGATCATATTACATTTATAATTTAAATTTAAAGTTGTACAAATAAAAATTGTCTTAAGAATTTCAAAAATAATGTGACTATATCTTAAAAATACCTGTTTTGCAGCTTGGGCTTCACTGTATTTCTGAGTAAAGTCTCCTTCAATTACTGACCTTATGAGACAAAGTCCTTTACCTGAAAACAAAAATCTTATTTTATTTGAAATCATTTATATGTTCTGTTACATTTAGATTACACAGGTAATTAGAAGTAATAGAATTGTTTCCTAACAAAGATATGATATATGAATTCAGTGAAATAAGAGGTCAAAATTTAATTAAATTGTATCTTCAGATTACCTTGTCTCTATAATCAGAAACAAAATCTTATTTCAAACAGTTATCTGAGTTTTACTGTAACAATTTTTGTATAAAGAAATTTTCATCAAAAATATTATAAGTATATAAAACTATCTAATTAATCTAACCAGTGTAGTAGTTAATATTTAACTACACCCTGACACAACTTGACATATATGTTTTTCTTTTTGATAGCAAATTTAATTTAATTTCATTTATTTATGTGTTTTATATAATCTTACATTATTATTTAACTGGTTAATGTCAGGTGTAAATTTTCTATTTTAAAAATATCCTAGAACAGCATGCATATCCTATGTTCGAATATTATTGAGCCAAAAGTTAAGTCAAATAGAAGGCCCAAAAACATTTCTCTTGTAATTAAGAAGTTGGTTTTCTTAAATGGCTGCATTTTATTATCAAAAAAGGTATCAGCTTTACAGAAATTTAGAATAAAGAAGTTTTTAAGAAAAAAATTTGAAAGTATATTCATTTTAAAATTTTTAGATCATTTTGTTAATTTCCAGATTCAAAGATTTAGTGATGTCTTCTTTTCTACTTATTAAGCACAAAATTCTTAAATATCATAATACACAGCTGTTTCACTATTCTGTAAATGAGTACTTGGTATGATCGTAGCATTTTCCCAAAGAACATCAACACTTCTGCATAATATAACTCTGCCTTGGAAAAAACAGTTTTATTCCTAATCATATTATGTCTACTAATTAGACCTCCAAAATTCCGCATTGTATGCATTATCAGTATAATATCCTATAATGATGTGATGTCTGTTACAGACAAGAATTTTTTAAATACTAGCTTTCTTCAACTCTAAAAGACTGCATTTTGTTTTTTACCTATTGGTAAACTATGAAATTTCTTAATAATTACCATTTTAGGCTCATTAAGTGAGCTTGAATGACATTATTAGGCTTTTTTAATAACTTTAGACTAATGATCTATAAATCTAGATTTCAATGAAAAATAGTGTATTTTGGCAATCTAATTTATTGTAAGCATATAGTTTATATTTCTGTGAGAGTTAATCTTTTTAATTACTGTAAGAAGTTAAGTCATATTGCTAATTAGAGAATATAGATATTAACAGGAATTATTTTTACATGTTTGCTCATAACATTCAACAGAGACTTTTTTAAGCTTAAGATAATGATTGAGATACATTCAGTTCTAATTATTATTTTAAAATCAACTGAATAAAGTGGATAAATGCCAAGTGTTTTAATAATAACACAGTCTTGTGTTCAATAGTAAATATTTTAAAATAGTTGAATTTAAAATCTGAAGATGAGAGCAATTGTCCACAACCTGAAAAATAATTTCAAAGCAGAGTTTAATCTATTTAAGTAAGAAATTTTCTTAAATAGAAACATTTTATATGGAAAAAACTTACACCTCTTTTATAAAGATAAATGGTTTACATGGGAAAAGTCTCAATTTTAATTTTAATGTGAGAACTTCTTAACTGTATTTCAAATTCATTTTTTATTGATAAAATAATAGATGCAGATGAAGATTTTGAAAGGTACCTTCATCTGCATCTATTCAATAAGAGTGAAAATGTTGTCACCTGATTTTTAAGATTTGGTTGCTATGGTCCATGCCCAAGAAAGAAATTCAACTGGCTTAGAAAATCACAGGTTCATAAAAAAACTTGAACTCTGCACTCTATATTTCAATTTTTCTTCAGTGGAAGTACCTATATCTATCTATTCATGATCTATTTTCAAAAGATATAAAGTATATTCGTAGGCCAACTGGTTTAAATTCATTGACATCTGTGTCCCTTCAATTTTGGCTGCTTTTAAGTCAATCCTCTAAGGTTGCTGATCAAATGCTTGATTCTCTTTAGACAAAACAAGATAAACAGTGGAAAGTCTCTTCTCAGCTTACCAATCATCATGATCTAGATCTTAATTTTAGCCAATAGCCAATAAAGACTTTAATATAAATCAGTATATTAACTAAAATATTATAATATATGTTACTTATTAACCAGATGTTTCCTTTTTTAGTTTACATATATTTACAGGGTGACTAATAAATATTTTAAATAAGGTTTATATTAAATATAAGGTAACTTTATTATTTGTCTTATTTATTCTATTTCAAATGTTTCCTATTAACTTTATACTGCTTATTAGGGAAATTGTATATGTCATTGTATACAATTATTTTTGTTCATTAATAAAGTTTACCTGTAGTATGATGGTATCCTCTTAGAATTACTGCTGCTGCATTTTCAGTCAAAATCTTCATGTGGAGAATTGAGTACTTCATCTTTAAGTCCCCATTCACATATCTTATCCCCTTCTATACATTAAGTATATTGATGACATTGGCCTGATAAGACTTCCATGAGGAATTTTGGATTAGATGGAAAAATGTTATTTAAGACATGGAATGGCCTTCCATGTCTTAAATAACATTTTTTCATCTAAATAAATATAGATAGATAAATTGTTAAATCAAAAGGAATGAAGAAAGTAATCTATATTTAAATTTCAATCTATTGATAATTTCCTTTTTTTACTTTCTTTTTATACAATAGGTTCAAGCTGTATTGTGCAATGTATTTATATGTATAACTTGACTTAGGAAGTGAATTATTTATATAGTATATATTTTTCTTTCATTAATGATATTTTTTCAATACATATTGATTTTTTTACTTTTATTACTACAGACAATCACTACAAACTCTTATGAGCCATTCCTGGAAAACTATAACTGTGTTCAACTGAGCATTATCTTGATGGACAATGGTTATTTCAGACCAGCAAGCAGGCTGCATGCCACTCAAAAATAAAGACAGAATTGAAGTTGGATTGAAGAATTGAAGTTTAAGATCATTGTTTGGCACTTCAGCTCAACAGTGGTCCATCACACACATACACAATGATCATCCATTCCCAAACAGAATTGGAATTTGTTGTTAAAGACTAGTGTTGCGCTGATAACTGATTGATAAATTGATTTTGACACTGCAACAACACTCTAGTGCGAATTTTCTGACAGCTGGGGAAATTATGATGATTATTATATCAAGTGACCAAAAAAGTTTGTCCACATATTTTCCATTAGAATGATACCTGAAACTTTGTGCAGTTTTCTGTTGTGTGTCATAGTGATCAGATAATATCAGGAAGAAGAAACAGGCAGTTCATGAAACAGTGAAGAGTGAGGAAAAAGATGGTTAACCTGACTGCAGTTATTCAAGAGTGCTTACTCTATGAGTTTAAACTGGGCACTATTGTGATTCAAGCATCCCACAAGATAAGTGTAGTATTTGGAAAGAATACAGTGAGCCCAAAAGTGCTCAGAAAATTTTCATTGGATGATGAGGACTCTTGAAGATGCACCTCGCAAGAGAAGACAGCATCATTGATGAGGATAAACTGAAAGTGGCCATTGAGTTAATGCAAGACAAACATGATTTAACTTTTTTGCAAACTCCTATGTGAATGTTAAACCATTTGATTGCATTTTCATAGCCTAGGAAAATTCTGGAAGCTGAGCAAATGGATTTCATGTGAACTGAGTGCCAATAACAAGCTTCAGAGGCTTATGATCTGCTTGTTGCTGCCTTTAAAATCCAATAATGAGCCATTTTTAGACTGGTTGTTGATGTATGATAAAAATGAGTTAAATATGACAACACCAAATGTTTCTATCATTGGTTATTGTCCAGTGAATCTCTACTGCATATGCCAAAGCCAAATGTCCATTGATAGAAAACTTTTTGTTGTGTGTCTCGTAACCAACAGCTGGAATTGCTCATTATGAGTTTCTTTCCCTTGGCCAAACAATCACTGCAAATATCTACTCAGAACAATTGCAATGGTCCAAGATGCACTGCTCCAGAAACAACCTACACTCATTAATTGCAAAGGTATTGTGTTCCTTCAAGACAATGTGTGACTCCACAGCCTTAGTTGGAAAATTCTATCCCATCCTCCATTACCATCAGACAACACCTTTTTTCGCACTGGAAAATCATATGCACAACTGATAGTTTTGAAACTGAGCAGCACTGGCAACAGGATTGAAGGATTTCTTCACTTCTAAAAATTGGGACTTTTCCCAATTTTTAGGAGTGGTATTTACAAACTTGTGTCTCGTTGAAATTAGGCTGTACATTGTGATGGTGCTAACTTTACTGAATAAAATATCTTCATTCACTTTTTACCTCAAAACCACACAAACTTTTTTGGTCACCTGATAATTATTAACAAATACCAATATAAAAATTGCCAATAAAAGTCAGTATTCATCTAGATTATTGATAACAATAAATTTTAGTTTAAGTTTGATATATTAGTTATTGACACAGCACTATTGATAATTTTCTGTATTCAATATTTTTCGGTATTTATTGAAATTTACCAATTATCAATATAATAAAGAAATCTCTGTATCAAACCCAATATTGATATAGCACTGACCTACTAAAGTCCCATGCTGCTACTTTGTCACGGCACCTCTGCAAATGAAACCCACAATATTGAGATGCTAACAGCAGTAACAGTGCATGCAATTTTGCCTCTGATAGTTGCCTGCCAATGGTACAGGAAGAATCAAATAACAAGTATACTAAGAATTATGAACACAGTCTCTGTGAGCCTTTTTATAGAATAATGGGAAAGAAATTTTAAGGCCATCTGGCTGCTTACCCAGCATGCAATCAGATCTTGACTGTAATTATTTACATACCTGTCTAAGACATATCTGGATGTTGAGTTTTGTAATAATTGGTCAATTCTATCTGGGTATATAGCTTTTTTTGTCAATGAGTATATTTATTTAGATTCTATAAATTACTGATAAGAATTGAATTACAATAAAAGTAATAAAGTTTTGAAAAGTTTATTTCATTACCTGCTTTAAGTTGTGATGCAAATGAAATCACTTTGCGATATTTTGGTATTAGTTCATCATTAAGTTTGCACAAAAGAAGAACTTGTGGCCTGTAGTTTTTAGTATGAGGTGGTCCTTCTTCTAGACGGAGTAAACTGTAACGTGCAGCCGATAATGCTAAACCTCTTATTCCATCTCCCCATTCCTTTTCAGCTCTAAAAACAGACATCAAATTTATTAACAATAATATAACATATTTCATAAACATAATTTCTGAAAAATTAACATAAAAAAATTACTTATGTAGTATTATTTGTAAGCAAATATCTTTTAAGATTTATATTTTCATATTGTTTTAATTATGTAATACTATCTTTGATGATAATTTTTATCATTATTACTAAATGCTAAATATTAAGGATATCAAAACAATAAAATACACCATAAGCAATGACATCTTATTATAAATCTAATGTTTTTAATCTACTTAATAGACCATCATCAGAATATTGAACACTTAGAAATAGAACATGGAAACATTTGAAAAAATTAAATACTTAATTACATCAAAAAATAACATCTATTACAGTCGACCCCCCTATAACACTGTTGATTTTTCCGTTTTATATGAATTCCATGTTGTACGAGTCACTTAGATTTTACAAATACATGTGCTGGGCTGTGAACGGCTCATATATTTGTAAAATCTAAGTGACTCGTACAACATGGAATTCATATAAAATGGAATTATCAACAGTGTTATAGGGGGGGTCAACTGTATAACAATAATTCTGTGCCCACAGTTTTACAACAAAAATAAATAAAAAACAAAATACATAATTCATTAGTTATGTATTTTGTTTTTTATTTTTATTATATTTATAACAGTGTGTGTAATATTTGCATTAAAACTGTATTGATGTGAATGTCCTTCACAAGTTATTTAATACCTACTTTCAGACATTAGAGAGGTTGAGGTGCACGTTTTAAACGTGTATGTGTGACGTTCGGCGCTGCTTTCCCGTAAGCCTAAAAGTTTGACAATGGTGTTTGGATAGTCGGTGGAATCACGCTCGACATTTCAAACACCATCGTTAAACTTTTAGGCTTACGGGAAAGCGGCGCCGAACGTCACACGTACACGTTTACAATGTGCGCCTCAACCTCTCTATTGCTAAGAGATTCAGTGTCTTTTGCATTTAAACATTTGCCCACTAACTTGTGTATAAATATTTTCATTTTTTCCTCTGTATACCCATGAGTTGGAGAACTGATATTTCTGATGATCTTTATCTCGTTTCATAGTATCAATATCCTCAGTGCTAATGAAGCAGGCTAAAGCTGTGTTGTTTCTTCTACTATGTGTATCATATTTATGAGTGAGGTTCCTCCTATTATAACCAAGATAGGCTATGTTCATGGTAATGTTGTTCATCTTAGCTGGTGTCTTTTAGATTCTTGTTTAAAAATAACTACCGAAACTGGATGATACAAATAGACAATCACTATATACCCAAAAATCCAGCAGAGAATGAACAGTATATTGGAATGTACATAAGAATAAATGTTTTCTGTAATCTTAAGCTATCATCTTCACATTAGAATAATCCTTTAAACATAGAACAAACTTTAATTTCAAAATTGAGACATTCTATTTAGACTGTCATGAGCAATGAAAAAATTTTTTCAAGGAGTACCAGATGCACACAGAGAAACATAACTGACAGCAAACATTTAGTCAGCAATTATAGAGAGATCATTAGAACAAACAATATAGCATCAACATTCAAGAGGAATCCCACAATTTATTCATTGCTTAAAACAATAAGGACATCCACAACAGAAGCAATCTTCCACGCATGTGCTCCATACTGGTCATGGTTGGCAAAATAACAAGAGACTATAATACATCAGGGCCACCACATATACATCTCCAAGAGTACTTAACTTCAATAAGAAAGTGGCAAACCATGGTTGCTTTGTTCACCATTATGTGGGAACAGATGTCTACACCCACCTAGACCAGGGACAAGTCAAATATAGGGCGCTTAGAAAGGTTTATGCTAAAATTAAAAAACTGCCTTGTAAACATCAATTTTTTCTAAGTATTGTAAATTATATTCATTACAATAATTAAAATAGAAGTATACTGTTTGTGTAGTAGTGGATAACTGCTGATAGTGAACCATAATATATAAATAATAATAAATGTATGATTTTAGGGATGTTGTCGTGAGAATATTGTATTGAGTCTGGATGTATTGTGTAAAACTCCAATAAGAAATCTAACTGAAAAGGGCACAGCAAAAAGTGTTGAAATACATTTTAGATGTCAGAGTTTAATGATGTACTGTACATTATACTTGATAAAACTATTATTTTATTGTAAAACTAAGTCTCTTTGTGTGATAACCCCTAAAATAACTGGAATATAACAGTATATGAGAACTAATTAAGTAATGCTATTGAGCTAAACTTGAGTCAAACATATAGGCAGCCACAAAAATATTTGGTAAGAGTGATGAAACCATTCAACTTCACTTGCATCAACTGGGGAAAGTATATAAATTAGCCAAATCGATTCCACATGAACTCACAGCAGAAAACAAATCCTAGAAATTTTCAATTTCTTTCTTGTCATAAGAGCAAGCTTTTTTGGATAGACTACTGACGTGCAATAAAAAATGGATCATGTATTACAACAAAGGCATACCTAGTGAAGAGAAGAAAAATTAAAGTGTAGTAATTGACACATAGTCACACAGCACATACATATCAATTTAGTATCAGTTTGAATAATGATTATCGTGACTAGACTAGAACCATTTGTCGTGAAATCTCACTCTCCCTCCTCACTTCCTCAAAACTAATGCGTTGCCCCTAGTTCAGATCCTGAGTACACCACTGTACTACAACACTACGTATGTGATCTTATCATTGGTTATCATCCAGGAAACCTATATCTTCAATATCAAAAGCTGCACTTCATCAACAGAAGATTTTGTTGTGTTTGATGGAATATAACAGGTATTGTTCATTGTGAGCTCAAAACCAAATACAGTAATCACAGGGAAAGTTTACTCTGCTCAGCTGCAATTTGTGCAAGAGATTTTCCATAAGCAGTTAAAATTCACTGTGTTCAGTGTTATTAATTGTTTTTTCATTCGAGCACTTTTGACAAATGTATTCCCGTCGTCTTCAGGCAAATAAGATATTTTAAATCAAACACATGAGAGAAGAACACATACAAATTTAAATAAAATGATTTTTTTCGATGACATTCGATATGAATTCGCTACGATTTTGAAATACGTGTGATGTTATGAATGCGATGTAATACGGTGCATGCGTGGTACTGCTCCCGTCAGTGATGTAACATATGATGTAAATCGCCATTTAACCGTTTGTATAGGGCGATCCATATATTGGGCAGTTCCAGAGTAGGTGCACATGATGCACTGTTTTTCATCATAAAACACAATTATTTTCGTTTCAATCAAAAGATTTATTTACAAAAACAAGGAGACCCCATGGGTTCCTTGTTATCCTTGTTTATCTGCCATCCTAGCAGAGCCCGTCATAAGAGAAATCAAACATAAAACATTTGATTTTCCTCTTACCATCCTTTACCCACTACAGGTATACCTCGACTTATGTCGTTTTGAGTTACGTCATTCCCGATTATACGTCGTTTGTCAAAAAAGTATATGGAAAAATAAAAATCAAGTTTAAGTCATTTTACTAAACTCAACGTCTGTCCGCCACAAATATTGAAGTCGTAATATCACTAGAAAAATGTTTAAAGCACATAAAATCATATTATAATATATACATTTAGAAGTATATACTGTATTTACAGTAGGTCTACATGCATTCGTAAATTTAAATTACTTTTTTCTGTACTATATTAAAAACTAAAATAGATCCTTGTTAACCATATATTATTAAAAATGCATTAATAAATAAAATACAGAACGGGAATTGGTAATTTATGGTTTAGCCTAGTGGCAAGTAGATTCGACTTAAGTCGTTCTCCTGGAACCAATTACCAACATAAGGCAAAGTATACCTGTACTCTATTTACATTATGTGGATGATATCCTCATAGCCTGGAAGGGCACTGATGAAGCCTTTTGCACTTTCATGCGACATGTCTCTGTGAGGATTCGAATCCAGACTTTCCGTGTGTTTATATTATTGCATCATAAGATCACATTGTAGCCATACTTTCATTCAATAACTGTCAACTTTTACACCTGGGAGCTAAACATCTGCTAAGTTTTCGGGCTTAATAAAGACACTTTCTCAGCACCTTTTGATCTAATATCTCGATTTCAACAATACAACCTTAGGACAGAACAACAAAGTAGCAGTCGTCACCAGTTCCTCAAGCAGACCACTCAAGTTTTCCCTGTGTTAAAATATTTGGATATTTCCTCACCTTGGGATACCTCCTCGCCTAATAACTAGTTAACCAAGAACTGTGGAAATAAGAACTGTTGTCCAGAACCGTCTTCTTTTGTGTCCGACTGACTTGCAGAAGATCAAGATTTCATACAAGGTATTTATCACCACGCGAAACTTATGTAAACTCTCTCTCTCGAGAACCGCGGAACTGTAACAGAAATCGTAAATCTAATTTAATGTCTATTTTATATCTATTGTAGCCAAGATTTCTAAAAACTAGCCTAGTTAAAATCAATATCTTTTATATCCTGTATGGCCTATAGTTATCAATTAAACTGTTGTTACGTTAAAGCGTCTCTGAGTAAGTCACTTCCGGTGCACTGTCTCTCCTTCCATCTCATCCATTTGCTCACACACGCGACCACTCACACGCCCGAACGAAACGGTTTCTGTGTCTAGCCATGAAGACACAGTGGTGTCAGTCCTGAAGCAAATTGTCATTGCAATCTTCGCCGACGCGATGTCGACCCTTTGGTCACGTGGTGCTGAAGTATAGGGGGGCCTTTCGGCATTGTCACATCTCTAATGTATATCCCTCCATCAATTTTACGTGGGAAAAAGAAAGTAATGCGGCTATAGCTTTCTTAGATCTGTGCGTACGTAGAACCTTGGAAACATTACTTTTCTCAGTTCAACATAAGTTTAACATGCTACCATACATCTTCCTGGCAAATGCATTCCAACCTACACATTATGTTAATGCCGCCATAGCCGCCCTACTGAGAAGAGGGTTTTTGCTACCATCAACCCAAAATCTTATAAACAGTGAGTTAAACAATATTAGCATAGCAGTATGTGCAGCGGGTTTCTCATGTGCTAAGTACATGCATGTACTCAACAAAGTCAAGAAGATGCTGTTTCCAAGCTCCACATTAACTAACAGGAGGGAAGTTACGCTCATACAACCAGCCTTACCATACCTCAATCCGCTTTCTCTATGCATTTGCCGCATGTTTAAACAACGTGGTCTGCTCCTGCTCCTACCCCTTTCTCCGTTACCTAACTTGCGCAGACTCCTCTGCAATGACCGGGACAAGTTTTCCATCTTTGAGAAGTCAGGAATTTATGCAGTTCCATTAGAAAATCCCGTAACAGGGAATAGTTTATAGTTTGTAAAGAAAAGGCCTTAACTCGATGGTATAGCCAGAAGGAAAGGGAGAGGGAGGGATGGAGATAGGGTGGGGAGTGGGTGGGAATGGGAAGAAAAAGAGCAAAGGGGATAAGAAGAGAATAAGGGCACTTGCCGCAAACCTTCTGTACGGAGGGGACAAATTACGAATAGCGTGTAGGGTTAAAAGACCGCATGAAGGATACAGAGAGTAAAGATGGTGCCTTTAATAAGCATGACCAATAGCTAGATAAGAATAACACAAGGTGCCAGATGGAGTATGAACAGGGAGGCACCTTAATAGTTGGGTGCAATGGAGTAGGTAGACGGATACAGTCAGGTAAGAGTCAGCGAGTCATAGGAGCTCGAGGGTGAGGGAGCTGGAGAGAAGACTATGTTAGGTGCTGGAGGGTTGTAGTCCGTGAGGTGGAGTTTGTTAACATAGTTAACGAAAGCCATAAACGTGTCCTTGTCTTCGATGAAGGCACTGAGGTGGTAGGGCCAGTGGTGACCATTGTTTGTTAAAGTTTCTTTCAGATGTTGGCGGTGCACAGTGTGTTTCGGACAGGTAAAGATGAGATGGAATGGGCCATCTTTTTCTTTGATGGTACAGTCACAGAGACCGTCATCCTTTTTTAGGAAGCGGTGCAGGTAGCATTTGAAGTTCCCATGTGCTGTTAAAATCTGGGTAAGAGCGTGATTTGTGCTCAGGTGTTTGAGGTTGGATCTATGGACAACGTCAGGGAGGAAATTGTGGGTGATACGTCCGGTGGAACTGCTGTCCCACTCCCTTTGCCACCATGACATAAGAGTGGCAGAAAGTTCGCTGCATACATAAGAGATTGGAATAGAGGAGTAGGAGAGGTGAGATGCCACCTTGTGTGCTTTCTTAGAGAGGCCATCTGCTCTTTCATTGCCCCTGATATCGGAGTGTCCTTTAACCCAGTAGAGTTTAATGCAAGCAGCACCTTTGAGTGCCTTGATGATATTCAGAGAGTTGCGGATGATCGGAAGATTATGATTCCTTTTTTTAATTTGATGTAGGGCCGTACGGCTGTCGCTGATGATGTTTATTGTTCTACCCCTGAACAGTTGAATGTTGTCTTGCACATACTTCAGGGTTTTCCAAATTGCTAGAGACTCTGCTTGGTTGTTTGTGCAGTTCTTATGAAGTTTAAATGCTGCTTCCCAAAAAATTTTCTTATGTGGGTCTTCCAGACAGGCTGCTGTACCAACAGCTCCTGATGCCTTAGAGCCGTCAGTGTAGATGCAGAGCCCCTCAGGGGTCGTAACAGGGAATAGTATGAAATACATTGGGGCCACAGCAAAAATGTTGGCTACCCACTTGACTGAACACCAGGATGATATAGCAAAAGGAAGGTGCAGCACTAAACTCATAAGAAGAGTGCACAACACGAATTATAACCTGTTATGGGCCCACTCTACTATACTCAGGACATGCAATGACCAAAGACTACTCTATATGGGAATCAGTATATATAACAACGTTGGAAATGTGCAACGCACCTACTCTGGAACTGCCCAATATATGAATCGCCCTATACAAACGGTTAAATCGCGATTTACATCATATGTTACATCACTGACGGGAGCAGTACCACGCATGCGCCGTATTACATCGCATTCGTAACATCGCATGTATTTCAAAATCATAGCGGATTCATATCGAATGTCATAAAAAAAAATCATTTTATTTAAATTTGTATGTGTTCTTCTCTCGAATGTTCATGTTCGATTTAAAATACAGTATCTTATTCGCCTGAAGATGACGGGAATACATTCGTCGAAAGCGCTCGAATGAAAAAAGATTAATAATGCTGAACACAATGAGTTTTAACTGCTTATTAATATTACTTGGCGTGAATAACATACTAGTCTATATTGAGATTTTCCAAAAATAGCCAGCTGATTAATTGCAAAAGTATTGTGTTTCTTCAAGATAGCACAAAATTTCACACTTCACGAGTGACTTGGGAAAAGCTCCATAGCCTTTCTTGGAAAATTCTATCCCACCCACTATATTCACCAGACCTCTCACCATCTGATTTTCATTTTTTTCTCATAACTTTACAATCATATGCATAACCAACAATCAAGAATTTGAAAAGGCATTGAATGAGAATTTTGCTCCTAAAGACAGAATTTTATAAGACAGGAATTTATAAAAATGTTTCTTGTTTTTAAAAATAAAATTTTAAAAATAAAATTTCTCTGTTTTGTTTTTATGATCTTTTAATTTTGTCTTAGAAAACCATACAAACTTTTCTGGTTAACTGATATAAAGTTAATCAAAAAGTTTGCTTTTTATGTAAGATGCTGCTAGTAGTGATTGTTAATGGCAATTTATATTCAATTGTTTTTGTCAGTTTTGATGTAACATTCTGTAACATATATTCTAAATAAAAATTTTTAATTTTTGGACTTAAAAATGGAGGATCTTAAGTTGCATTTTTGTCATCTTATTCGTACTTTAAAAGATGCACCATGATCTGGAAGACTCTTAGCTGCTGTTGATGATGCAATCACTGGATTAATTCAACAGAATCCACATTACATCACCAAGGAAATTGTAGAAGTGTTATCTATTGCTCAGGGTTGTTGGCCATTCACCCAAATATCATAGCATATGTAACACATATGCTATGATATTTGGGTACCACATCACTTCAGCAAGAGAAATCTGACAGAATATCTGCCTGTAATTTGCTGTTAAAATGTAACCAGGTGGATCCCTTTTTGAGGAAATTAATTACTGGCAATGAAAAATGAATCATTTACAATAATATGCAGCAAAAAAGATAATGGAAGAAGTCAACTGACCCCTCAGCAATGCAGTCAAAACCAGTTCATATCCAAAAAATGATTATGCTGAAAATATGGTAGGGCTAGTAGAGAATTATTTACTATGAACTGTTACCTCAAAATCAAACCATTAATACAGGAAGCACTATTTCCAACTTGATAATTTGAAAGCAACCATAAAAAAAAGAACTTGGCACATTAGCAACAAAAAGAAATTATTAAAATTTGAATGGATGTTTTATGCCACCCCCATATTCTCCCAATCTCCACATATTCATATTATAATTTATTTCAATCTCTCTACAATAGTTTTCTAAGTTATTGAACTTCTGCAATGTGATAAATGACCCAGAGACATTTTTCAACAAAATATCCCCAAAATTCCTTGCACATAGAATAATGGATCTATCTACCTAATAGATGGGTTGAAGTAATAGAAAACAAAGGTGCATATATAATTTAATAAAGTTATTTTATTTATTTAGGCACACCACCATCTTGACGGCGTACGTTAGCGACTCCAAAATTTGGGCGGACTTCCCGAACACCAAATTAATCAGATAGGCATTTCAAATTGAGCACATCCGTCACCTAGAGGCCTGGGAGATCTATAAAGCCAATGTTGGGGGCACCTGTATCAACTTTAAAGATGGAGAGACCATCGCGCATGTGTGGAGATACCTATTCAAAGAATTCAAACGGAAACAAGCAGAGGGATGAAACGTGATACGCGCAATATTTACATCTTGGATGACATCGTTCTAACGGTCAAGGAAGACAACGCTTAGTCAGCACCTGAAGAAGACCTAGGTGGAGGTCGAAAACGTTAGTGGATATTCGTAACAAACACAACACTGATAAAGGTGTTTTGTGGACAGTTATATTTGGAACATTTTAAGTTTAAGGTTTTATCCAACTACAACTTATATCTATGTTCAAAAATGTCAACCTAAGTAATTTTCCAGCAGTGGAGTAGATAATTTACAATCTAAATCATCCACTGTTGGAAAAGTACTTAGGTTGACATTTTCAAATATTCCTAAAATGAATAAATCAAGAACTGTAGTGATACTGTAAAGAAAATATTTGTTTATAGATATATTTGTGTAGTTACAATTACTAAATAAATTTATGCTTACCCTCTATATTCAATGTACTTATAAATAATTCCAGCAATTCCCATAGATGAAAGTGCATAATACCAACTGCTAAGAAACATAACAACCAAACATAAAAGTGCCCCAATCAGAGAAAGTGACCTATAATAAATAAATTTACTTAAGTTTATAATAATATTACTAAAATTTAACTTTATTATTATAATCATTACAGCAAGAGAGATTTTTTTTAATTATTAATTAGTTTTTAAAAAATATTTTTTATAAAAATGATCAATTATATTAAGAGAATTTGAAAAATAATACTAATGTTTTATTTTAAAAATGAGTTGATAAATATTTATTTTATATTTAACACATTAACCATTTTATGAGTGATGAATGACTCTTAACTGGTATCCTGTATGGCATGCACTGCCCAAGTGTATAGCTCTTGTGGGAGGTGAAAGTGATACCTCGAGAATGGCTTGAGATAATGACATCATTTTTGCACTGTGAGCTACCTACCATATCTTGACATAGACCTATCATTTCAAAGTAGACCCATGAGTCACTGGTGTTGCATACTATGTGGAGGACATCAAGTTACCTGTGAATTATACTTGATAGAGAATGCTGTGTCACTTCTGACATTTCTGACTACATGGAGAATAGCAGAAGATGGCATACATGAAAGCACTCAATTTATTTGACTTCCTGCTCATAAATTGAAGCCTCATATTAGTACAAGAAGGTAAGAAAGCAATTTTGAACTGTCTAGAATTATTGTGTAAGTATAGGCTAATTTAAATTTTATATTTATCATGTAGAATGTTGCAAAAGTATTCCAAGTTTTTGAGTGATGAGCTAATTCAAAAGCATAGCATTTAATAATGAGGACAAGTCTGATTTGGAAGATGAAGTCAATTCGTAGGAAATCTTGTCAGAGACTTATTCGAAAGATGAGTATCTTCTGAACACTTCAAGAAAAGAAAATATCTCAGAGGCTCAGACACTGATGGTGATCCACCTAAAAATGATAGTGATAAATCTGATGATGGTGGTGGTGATAGTGACGATGCTAATGCTTCCTCCTTGCCTATGTGGAAATCTATTTCAATCAAGCCACAACAGTTTCCTAATTTTTCTGGCTATCAGACACTACATCTCACAGATGCTGATCCCAATGATCCAGTTTATGTATATCAGCTCTTCTTGGCACACAACATTCTTGATATGTTTGTTCTTAAGACAAATAGGTTTTTACAACTATTTTTGGCATCCAGAAATTTGAAGGCAATAAATAAATAAAACCTACTTACTCGAGCCTCTAACCGGTGTGAAGAAATACAATAAAATAAACAACTTTGAAGAAACAAACGTTTTCCAAACACCTTCCATGTCCTTCCTCAGGTAAAACGGCTGGATTCCTTATTCTAAAATACCATTACGCAATTTTTGATTGCGTAACGATGATTCGATTGTGCAATGTCCACTGCGTATGCATTGTATCTGTCGTGTCCCATCATTCAGAATCGCATTTACTCTTCTCATACATATATGATGCACTATTTTTACTATGACCGTTAACATTTCAAGGCAATGTTAAGACTCCAGAGTTGGATAGGCATAAATAGAGAAGAGCTGCATAAATTTCTTGAAAAAAATTTTTGTTATGGGAAAGAATTCACTTCCAAGCATAGAACTGTCAAAAAATGAAATTTATCAAAATATTTTCATACAAAAAATCATTATCAGAGAGAAATTTAAAATTATCTTGAAATTCTGGCATTTTGTCAAAAATGAAGCAATTGATACTAATGATAGGTTACGCAAAATCAGGCCATTTTTGGAAAAACTGGTAACATTTTGTCAAATACAAAGAGATGTTACCTTAACAAAAGGCTTTCTTCATGTCTAAAAATACACTACAAGAATTTGGGAACTGCCAGTTCAAACATTGCAGTTACAACTGAACACGGCAGGAAACAGTGTTGTCACACAACCACAACATTCAGTCAAGCACTCATTCCTGAAGGCAATGCAGTGATTGGTAAATCAATGGTTCCCTGGAAAGGAAGACTCCTGTTCCACCAATACCTTCCTGGAAAATCACACAAGTATGGCATCAAAGTATATAGGTTGTGCATTCACAATAGATATACTTAGAAAAGGTTTGTACAGGAAAAGTTGAAAACAACAACACACTTCTCATTTGCACAAAGTCTGCATTATTGAACTTTGTCAGGTTTGTTGAATGAAGATTCATACTGTATCCTGATAACTTTACATAAGTGCTGACCTTGCTCATGATTTGTTAGATAATAAAACCAGACATGGTGAAACTTTGCAGTCAACAAGAAAGGAATCCCCCAGATGTCTTCATCAAGTAACTTACAAATAACAAAATGGTTTTACAATATTTTTCAGAACACATTTTTACACAGACCATATTCAATATGCAAGAGAATTTCAGAACATTAATTAAATACATTTTTTTAAATATGTGCAAAATGAAAATAAACATTTGGAATGATAAATCATCAAGTTATATATGGGTGAATAAAAGACAGATGCTGATGCTTTCAAGAATTGAGAATCATAATGAAAAACTGGTTGATACAGGAAAGAAGTAAACAAAGACAGACACTTTTACTTGTTACTTCAGCAAGTAAAAGTGTCTGTGTGTGTTTGTTGAACTGTTCCAGCTTTTAGAATTACAGGAAAGAAGAATAAGAAGACAAAGAAAGCCAAAATGAAACCACAAATGGTTTATTCATACAACAATATGAAACAAGACATCAATGTGTCTGATTAGATGAGTATTTACAATTCACCTCTGCAAAAAGGGGTTAAGTGGTATCATAAACTCATAACAGCCTACCAACCCAAGTTTGGTAGGCTGTTATGCCTGCAGTTGGAATTGCTCATTACATACATGTGCAATATTCCTTGCTAGAGTAAAAGTTTAAAAATATATTTTTTCTGGAAAGCAATGAGCTCTGATTGGAGAATTTGCCTAACCTAACACTATTATGCTTACACGGAAGAGGCAAATCTAAACCTTGGAAAAGGAAGATGATCTTATAAGGAAGACATGATACCAATAAAAGGAATGCTACCATGAGGCTCAGAAGACTTCAGGAAGCCACAAAACAGATGCTTCAAAGGAAGCACAAAGCAAATCAATACATTTTGTCAAGATTGCTCGGGCAAGCCTGCCTTATGTTTTGTTGCTATGTTTCAATAAAATGCTTACAAAAACAATATAATTCTTTCAAAAAAGAATATAATTAAAAAAAGTATATATTATATTCACTTAATTACTGCGACAATGATATAGTGCAAAATAGAAACACTACACCATTACTGCGACAGAGCATGTAGCACTTACCTACCTGTGTGGAATCAAAAGTGTTACTCTGTGAAAAGTTTATAGTATATAAATATTTAATTTTCTACATCTAATGACTCAGGTTTTTCATTTCTGAATGGTACTTTCTCAATTCTCCTCTCTTCTGAGAGGAGGTCAATGAATTACTTCAACCCCCTTCTGCATCACTCCCTTCTTTCTATTAGACCAGCAATATGGTGACAATAGGAAAATTACATAATATAAGGTTACCAGAGAGCACAGAATATATTTTAAGTGGTTTTCACAGAATATATTTTAAGTGCAGACTTTAAATATTTGGTTTGTTTTTTGTAAAACTTGATTGATTGGCAGATTACTATTTGATTTTTTGGCTGTAAATGGTACAGTTTCTTAGAGATATCTTATGATAACATTAGTAACATTAGGAAGAAATACGATATCATATTTTCAATCAGTGTCTGCTTGATCAATGAAAGCCATTTCATACCATCTGAGTGTAGCAATAAATATGACAATGGTAAACTGAAATAACCAAACTCTTTATATAGTTTTTGTTGTAATGTTTGTTATATTATAGTATTTGATTTATTAAATACATAGGTTATTTTACATAAGAGTTTATCATACCGAGTGACCAATCTAACGTATTTTAAAAATACTTTATTCCTCTACTGTACAAAATTTTAAAAATATGTGAGATTGGTCACTCGATATGATAAGATAACCTTACATAAGATAACCTTTGTAAATATAAATCAAATACTATAATATAATATAATAGAAGGGTTAGAAGAACAAAATAATCTTAATCTTTGCTACAGTTACAATTTTTGTGATAACTCAGGATATATTTTTTTCTTCTTAATTGAAGTTTTTAGACTATTTACAAAAAATTAAATTTTTTTTTTGTAAATAGTCTAAAAACTTCAATTAATCTTTGCTGTTGTTATTTTTTCCTGAGCAATGTCTGGCTCACTTGCTAGTAGTAATATAAATTAACATGGTAAGCACAGCAAATAAAAACAAAATAAAACAATAAAATAGAATATAAACATGGCATAAGACCAAAGTACATATTGTGTGTTAATCCTTTTAATTTTTCCTATTGTTGAATGATATCTGTACTTATTGTCTCCAGATTGCTCAGTGCTATTTTAATATTGTAAAGTAGAACAACTATGCAATGTCTATACATTTCAACCACTTCCTGTTTTACAACTGCATTCTATATTGAAACTTGAAGTATCCATTTATCATTTCAAGGTATCCATTATCTACAAATGCATGACAAAAACATCCATGTCACTGTTACTTTTAGCTGTTATTCCACACAAAATTATGCAAATAGCTTTTAATGTCACCTCTCTTTTTTTGAAGCAGTTTTCTTTCATCAAAATAAACAAAAATTTTAAAAAAATATATATTTATATCACCATCCACAACAGATATAATAACAATGAATAAAATAATTAATCAAAATTCAGAAGAAATATGATCATTAAAATCAAGTGCAGTAGCTATAATAACTTAATCCTGTTAATGTGCTTACTTTGTGAGCCATTATATTGCTTTGATTTCTGCACATTTGTATTCATTGGTAGTAGTAAATATCAATATAAAAATGAATCTTTAAATGATTAAATAAATGTCAAATTATTAAAGTAACGATTCTTTTTACAAGAATAAAAGAAAATAGATATATTGATCTATTATAACCACATAGTAACCACTAAAATCCAGCAAAATCTCAATTTATTAAAATAAAATAAATGTTTTATTTACTGTA